AATTCAATCACAGGAGACTTGCTTGCCTCTGGATACATGAGGTTCGTAAATATGCAGAATAACTGGTCGTGAAAGAATGGAATGGATTAATAAATCCGTTTCACAGACATTCGAATGAGGATTGAATTGCAGGGGTGACTGTGGATTTGTGCGAAGAAATCCTAGACCACCTTTTTGGTTCACAATTTGGTGAAGTTTCTTAAGTGGGTATATAAAGATTTGATGATAGCCATAGTGACCGAACAGATGAAAGCTCAGCACAGATTCATTAGAGTCACAGTTGCCAAGGCAGCAAATTTACAAATCCATTGCATTTGCATCTTCAACTTAAATGAGAGGTACAAAAATGTGAGGTTCAATTTCGAATCCGGTCGGAGCTACTTATGAGAAGTAGGCAAGATCGAAAATAACGGTGACTATTGAGTGGAAGGATAGTTTCGGAGGGTTAGGCAGCAGTAGCGATTTTGCATATTCCCTCGAGAAGTTGGAATATCAGGCTCTGAAGTACCAGGATTCTTGATGAGCTCTTTTAATACAATACTCTAAGGAATCATTGACAGTTTCGAGACAATTTCTGATCCATTGCCTTATTTTCCATTCGCCTTTTCAGGCTGTCTCCTCGATTTCACCGGGTCATCCTTAGCACAAAATTCGGGAAAATTGAGAGATTGAGGCGCTCATTTCCTCTTTGTAGTCAGGATTTGCATCGTTAATGATAATGATTGCTAAAGATATTCGTGGGCAGATATCACAAGAAGAAAATAACGGATTCCTGCTGTCCTGTAGTAGCTTGATTTTAGCATGAACTCTAGGATGAAGTTAATTCTACTTTAACTGTCGTGAAGGCAGGCTGAAATACGAAAGATCAGCCAAATGATGCTGCAACCCAAATTGCATAATCTAATCACACGACGTCACAGCAGCACTAATATGACGGCTTCTTTGGGCAAGAATGACATAGAAATATAAGCATCAGGTACTTGACTTGAAATAGCTCGGAAATACTATCAAAAATAAGATACAGTTCATCTTGCCTCCTCCATCCGAACAGGTACCGTAAATGAAGTTGTATGGACTGGCGCCTTTAAAAACGGACAATCGAGATGGCCGAAGAGGGAGGATGTTGTTGTAGCCGGGTGGAATTTTTAGAAGATTCTGAATCATCTGTTCGGCAAGAAAATACAATACAACAAGAAATGCTATGGACAATGCCTTAATTGTATAGAATGTAGATAGCCAGGGCTCAAAGGCGATGGTGTAACGAGGTACAAAATTTGACAATCTGAAGGATAAGGTAAAAAATAAAAGCGGACAGAGAAGTGTATTGATGTAGGAACTATCACTTAGTAACTATGTCGATGGTAGATTTTGGAAGTTTAAAGCTTCACTATTGGAGAGATTTGAATGAGGATAAGAGGAAATTTAATATTCGGTTCTTCACGAAATCACAAAACTATGCTACAGAAAGTGACATTCAGCGGAAAAGCAAATCATGATGTGAACTATAAAAAAGGTAGGTTTAAGATTGGAAAATGGATAAAATGATATGTTAATCAAGGAGATGTGATGAAATGTTATGAATTTATAGGATAAAGTATACTAACGTTGGGATTGGTATTTTATACATCTTCCACCCTAATCACCACTTTCAAGCTTTACGTGGTGACTTGAAATCTGTTGCTTTCTTGTGTTTCATATTATTTTTAATCCCACTATAGGTCGGATGCCCCTTTTGTACTATTTTCAATAAAGTTAGATTGGCCCGTCACTCATTTGGTGTTTCCTTATCAATTACATATGTTCCATTATTACAACATGCATGACCGCAATCATAAGCCAATAAACTGCATTCTATAAGTACATACACGGAATCATAGTTTAGCTCATACAGGCAGCATGGACGTACACGAATATACCTGCGCATAAAATGCAAGAGAAAGAGCCGTTTTGGAGATGCATATTAGATGACAAGATAAATAGACGCCATGGATGGAGTAGAATTGTACATTTGGAATTAAAAGTTTATCTGATGAAGACCTGTAAACAGAAACGTTAAGGCGCTAGTGCTGGCAATCTACTCCTGGACACGACAGAATAGAGGAATTGCTGGCCTCAAGGGATGCAGGAAGGAGGTGGCTCCTTCTTCTGGAGCCAAAGCAGATGAGGACAATCGAGAAGAGGCAGTGATTTCCGTCTGTGACCCTAGACGGTTTATTTGATTGCCTCGCAGTGAATGGGAATGGTAGTTGTGTGAATGAGTAAAGCCTTGCTATTATCACATGTGCTTACACTTCTGTCTCCTTTATTGTGAATGGGTGTGATGACTGAGATCAGCTTCTTACTCACTATGACACTCTCAGACGGAAGGCGCCGTCAAAGAAACATGTGCTAACAGGTTTCCGGGGTGTCAACTGAACGAGCAAATATGTCGGGCCGACAAAGCATGCTTGTTTGTGCAAACTCGGCAGAAGACTAATACAACTAAACATATTTATTTGCGTGTACGTATGCGCATGCATGTGTGTGTCTTACATTTATTCATAGTTGTATGCTTGTATGTTTGTGTGCAGTAGTCCCGTGTATGTTCTTGCTTTCACATGTGCCTTATAAATGGTTCTGAGGATGAGCAGAGAGGAATCCTTAAAAGAGAGGGCAGAAGCCAGGCATACTCACTTACAAGTTCATAGTCAAACACCACTTTGCTTCCGGCCTACGCAACCCGACAGCTCGACAGGCGAGAACTCAAAGTCGGACACCAAAGCGAAACGCCTTACTTTCACAGTATTAGCAAAACAGGTAATGCTGGCAGCCGGTGCCGATTTACATTGCGTACATATTCGCTTTTGTATGCACTGGATTGGGGCCGATAAACGGTTGTGGAAAAATAGATTTAGTTTCCAAGGCGGCGGAGGGCGCAAAGAAAGAGTGAGCTTTTGTGTACTTGTGCGTGTGTGTGTGAGAGAGAGATATATAGAGAGAGGAAGAGATGACAAAATGTCAAAAAGCCGAACCTGTTGGGGGCCTTTGAGATGCAAAATCCTCTTCAGCAGACCTTTCATTCTTTCTCTCGAGGCAATGTCTGCGAAGGATGGTCTATCACAAGAGAAGGCATGTCAGGCAACGGTTCGTTGCTGGGCCAGTCCACCGAAGCCCCTCGATGGAGATCTACCGCAAGGTGTCCCTTTGCTTTAGACATTGCTAAAGTTGTTAGACTGTGTACACATAGTCAATGAATGTTTTTTAATTTGCAGCTTCTTATCTGAATTAACAGGCCAGGAATCCTGTCGCTTCGGGCTATCGTTGCCATAATTTTCCTTGCACCGGTAGCGGTCATGATAAATATTTGCTGCGAGTCGTCTTAGCGGAATGCGATTACAATGACATTAAGGAATGTGCCATAGCAACTATAAAGAAGAGCCTCCCTTAAGGCATCGTATCCACTGCCAGCCGCACTAGTCCCTCAGAGGACGGATGAAGAAGTGCAAAGTACCACCAACGACTTGGAGGTGGTCACTCCGGCCAGTCGTCTATTGACAGCACATCCTCATAGTGTCCAAGCGAGTGGCTCCTTTGCGAGGTATTTTGGATGTTAGGATATATTTGTTTTAAAGAAAAAATATTTGAAGATTCCTTTGCTTAAGGCACGTAAAATGAGTAACCCTAGGTCTCTTAGGGTGAGTTAAAGAATGATAGTTGGAGTCCAATGGCATTCTAGGGCCTGTTTATTTCATAGTGGGCAAATTGAGCCATTTTTCCTTACAAGGCTGACTCTGGAGTCTAACTAAGATATATTCATAGTCTCGAAAAATATCAACTTTACAATATATTCATATAATATATATTTGAATTAAT